TGGAATATAATCTATTTGGCAGTAGATTTATTGTAACTTCTGTGATTGTTTTGAAGAATTCCAGACAGTGTAAAACTTTCATTGACATTACCTCTTAAGTTGCTGCACTGAGACAGATTAAAATCCTTTGACAGGCAACCTTGTAGGATGATTTTCTATATTGTCTAGAGTTGCTTGTTGTGAATTATAGCTGATTAATATGAATTTCAGCTTATTGTTAATTTTTGACATGAGGATTATTTTCTGGTTCACTTTAAGTCTCCATCACTAACGTCTTTGATGGGATGCACATACAAGTGGATAAGTGTTGGTAAAGTGAATAGTTACTTGGCAGTTCAATCCCTGGGTTAGCTTTTTCAAAAAACCATATATTTGTGTTAAATGGCAGACAATTGATGTCAAAATGACAAGTTATCAACTATGAAAAGTTCCTGAAGATGGGTTTGAGGGTACAACAGTTGAAACCTTATGACCTATAATAAAAAAAGATGATATTAGTCTGAGTAAATTGGTGTCTAACAATTAAGCTTAGTACTACGTATAGCACAAAGCAAACTAAGGTGATGATTTGTTGAATTGAGTGTCATTCTGCTATAAAAATTGGAGTTTTGCTCTTGAATACAGAAAGAAAGTAGCAATAAATGTAAATTTTCATTGTTTTCAAAGTGAAAATGTAAATCCCTTTCAGGTAAAAATGAATTGGTGTTTCCCAAATCTGGAGACATTTTGTCAGCCTAAAAGATCAGCAACTTTCTCATCATTCATGATGTTTTGGTGCATCCAATTCACAAGCACAAAATCTTTATACAATAAATGTGCCTGTAGACATTTAAACTTTATAAAGTAGAATTTTTAAATTTCTGTGTGGGCTATTGTCCCCATTTTTCATCTGTGTAAATAATTCCTCATCCCAGAAATTTGGACATGTGTGATTATATTTATTATTATTTTTAAAAAATTTTTTTCATTTATTTAATTTTTGTGCATGTGTTAAAAATCTATTTCTCTTCTAGATTCAATATCTGTCTTTCTTTTTTCTCCACCTCTAGCCACTGGATGACAATAAAACATTAAGTGATTGTGGCTATACCAGCGGTACTGCTCGTGCTCAAGCCCCAGCCACCATTGGTTTGGCATTTAAGGCTGCCGGTAAGATTAAAGGGCAATTAAATGTTGCAAAATTTTACTTAAGAGAAACAAAAAAAAACAAAACACTTTAGTTGTAAAAGATTTTATATACTAAGTTTATGTCTATCTTCCTCCTACCAAAAAAAAAAAAAAAAAAATAAGGGTAGGGCAGCTCTTATTCAATCTAAACTCTATAAGACTTATAATGGTTTCCTTTGGAGTTCAATAGCAGGACATTAATGTCAAATTTATTATAAGTTAGATGTTAGAGATTTTACAAGGTGCACATTTTGATTTGTGCAATACTTTTCTGTAGGCATTATGGGCAATGAGACCGAGACCCTCTGTGACTTAGCATATTGTTTATATATAAATCCTGCTGGGTGCATTGTCCTGAGAGATGCCACTGCCATCTTAGAGTGTTACAATGAAGTGATGTAACTGGTATCAATGCTGTTGACATGATAGATGACACTTTTCATCTGAATGACAGACCACAGTATTTCCTTGCTAAACAACCCCACTCCACCAGTTTGTTGTTTAGCTACAGTGTATCCTGATGCTATTGGATACCCCAGGATGATGGTGCACACATACCCTACCATCTCTCTACCTCATTAAAGAGAAAGCAAGGCTCCTTGGACTAGGTGACCTTCCATTGATGCAAGGTCTAGTTTTGATGTTTGCATGTCCATTGCAGATGATTCTAATGATGGCTACTCTGCGTGATCTGTGGTTATGGAACATGTGTACCATAGTAACCCTTCTGTTTGCTTGTAGTTGTTGAGAACAACTTCATTCACTTCTGGCATTGATAAGCCTTGGCTGTCCAATGTCTTATTTAACGTTGCAGATAACAAATTCACTTTTACTGCTGCAGGTGAGATGTGAGCACGGCTGTTTATCTACCTGATGGTAGATATCATTCTTGCCACATGTTAATAGCTCATCAATATGTATGGGTGTTGTTTAGTGAGCTTGCTAACCATCACTTTTTTGATTTGTAAGCAGCATTGATGTCTGGTTGTGAATTGAGTTTACGTGAAGCAAAACTGGCTTTGTTCTCAGGACTCTCAGCTTATTTCAAAGTAGTTTGAAAAGTTATGTCTTGCAATTCCAAATTTAGTATTGTAGCCTTTCCAAAACGGTTTTCTAATCTGGCTAAAGTCAAAACGAAGACTTGATGAATCATTGCTATAGAAGGCAAAGTAGTTTGATTTGTTTAATAAACTCATTAGTGATTTGTGTAAAATATTTAAAGTTAAGGAAATCTGTCTGCTTTTTAATTTTGTCTTGTATTTTTTTTATTTATTCAGATGGTGAGTTTGAACCTCTGGAATTGAGCCCTTTGTCTAGTCCTCCAGAGTTGCCAGATGTCATGAAACCCCAAGACTCAACAACTCCTCATGTACAGGAACAAGCTGCTGCTTAGTGTGTATGCGTGCATGTGTTTGTATGTGTGCGTGCGTGCGTGTGTGTGTTGCTAGTGTTGCCTTGAAAATATACCAATCCTGAAGGTAACTGAACATGTGCCAGGCTTGGTTGGCCCTTCTAAAATTGGCAACAGACCATAAAAATAAAAAAAAAAAAATAATATAAATTAAACTGGAGAAAACGGTACAAAAAAAAAAAAATTCTCCCCTCCCTCCACTTCAAAAAGGAAAGATAATTTAAAAAGTTTGGATATGTTTCCAGGCTTGCTTCTATTCCCTTCCCACAGCCTCTCCTGGGTCTGCCCCCACCTCTTTTCCTTTGCGTTACTATAAAAACTCAATCCCTTTTGTTATCTTCAAGTCCTGACTTTGCCAATGGCTGTCACATCTTGTCAAAGTTTTCTTAATTAGGAATTAGAATTCTTTTGATTCTCTTTTGCACAAAACTCTCTCTCTCTCTCTCTTAGATTGTTGTCATTGTTGGTTTTTTCTTTTATTTTTCTATATTTTTCCCTCTCTGCAAAGTAAATGATTTATTTGTCCCCCCCCCCCCGGGGGGGGGGGTCTCTAACATTCTTTTAGTAGATTTTCCATATAGAATGATAGCCCAACCTAACGTCCCAGTCTCTCTCTTTGCCGCCTCTTCAAATGATGATTATATTCGACTACACATTCTGCCTGTCAAAGCAACAAGTGAGCTGCCAATGAAATCTTACAGAGGAGGGGAGGGGGTGTTGGTCCTCTCTATTGTTTACTGATTCTCTCTCTCCCCCCTCCTTTTTTTTTTTTTTTTTTCGCATTTCTCATCTCTCCCTCTTAACATACACATTGATCTCTGTTATGAAAAATCTCTTCAAAATTGCAAAATATGACTTTTGAATGAAAGCAGGGCAGGGGGAGAAGGTAAAGCATCCCAAATATATGCACACAGTAGGGTGGGTGGGTAGAAATAATTAGTTTTGCCTCAGGTAAAGAGAAAACTAAGGCCAGTGCCATTTTTTTTTTTTTTTTTTTTTAACTCTCTCTCCTCTAAAGGTTCTGCTTGAATAATATATTCATTTAAATGTTTGTATTTTTTTTTCTCTCCCTCTAATCACTTTCTATGGGGTCTGTTCTGATTTAGATTCCCAAATTAAACAATTTGAGCACCTGAAAAAAAAAAAAAAACACAAAAAACTGCCATTTCTAAACTGATACAGACTTGTTTGGCTGGACATATTTGCCAAGTCATAGGATTGGCTATTCCTCCATTTTGGGAGGGCTGGCTTCTCTTATCTTCCCATTTCTTTTTCAATTAAACCATTTGCATAGGTGTTTTTTTTTTTTTTTTTGTTCTTTGACTTGTACTCATGGTTGAAGTAGTCTTCCCTCCATTTCTTGTAGTGTCTAATAACTGACATTTTGTGTGTGTGTGTCTCTCTCTCCCTTCCTCTCTTGTAAAACTGCCCATTTCAATGGTGTCAGTGGCTATTTCTTTCATTTGTTGTAAAGTGTCTAGTTACAAAAATTGTATAAATGAAGCAATTTTTTTTTTTTTTTTTTCTTTAGAAATTTTTGTTTATAAAATTCAAGAGTCAAGTGACCTGTACCTTTTTTTTTTTTTTTAAGAAGAAAAAAAAATTAGACCTGCTCAGCTCTGTATCCTTGTAAATTATAAAAATGGCTCTGTACAAATGTTTTGAATGCATGTAAGCAAAGAACTTTTTATCTTCTATAAAGCAAAAACTTGTTAACATTTGTATGTCTTTCCTCTTCCTACCCCAGCCCTGTCCTTTAAGGACAACATTTACGTGTAAGAAGTATCAATAGTAGAAACTTTTTGTCTCAAACTTGTAGCATTTCAACTGCATTTGTTAACAATGTCAGCTGGTCATACAAAAAGATGCCTCTGCCTATTTATTGCACATTTCACTTGTCCTGTAATCCAAACCTGTTTTAAGACCGATATTAAGAAAAGGCTATTTAGTAAAATACAGAACAGCATCTGTTCTTTATCATAATTTCAAGTTTGGCTTTCAACACTTTTTTTTTTTTCTCTCTCCTCCTCCTCCATAAGAGTTTGTAATTTCTACCTACCATGAATAAAGTTTTATCTATATGAAAACTTTTTGTTTCGTTTTTTTTCCCCCCCCTCTGTAGGGAAAACATTTGGCATGGGGCAGACTTCAATTTTCTGGTTGAAAATTATTAAAAATCTTTCAAAAAAAAAAACAACAAACAAACATTTCAAAAATCAATTTATTAGATGATTGATAAGAATTACATCAATTCAAATTCTGTTCAACATAATGGGAAGAAAAAAAAAACTGCTTTAATATGAGAAACTTAAATGATCACCACTCCTACACCTGAAATTTATATATTTTTTGATGTGTAAAAAGACTTATTCCATCCACATGACTGAATACAAGAGTATGGCACTCATTCTAGACCTGGATTTTAATAGAATTCAATTGTAGAGTCTGAGAAAGAAAAAAAAAAATTCTTTGAAGAAATTTAGGTAGGTGCTGTACTAAATGGTATTTAAGTGTCCAGAAACCGACCATCACTTACTGAAATGGTTTTATAGACATTATTTATCATAATTGTTGAGCATTTATTTATCCTACATTAATGATGACTGATTTTACCTGTCAGAGTGTGGGTGGGGAGGGGGAGACAAGTGGCTTATCAAGATTAGTAATGCAAGACTTGGCAATATTTTCATAGTAACTTAAAATAATTTAATTATTTAACTAAATAGATTTTTTTTGTGTCTGCATATGTATTAAGCCAATGTTCAAGCAACTGCCATTAATTGGAGGCTGTGCAAAAAAAAAACAAAAAAAAAAACAAACAAACAAACAAAAACATTTAAGTGTGTGTTTGGGGGGGGGGTATGTTTACATTGGACCCATGTCTCAAAATCATTTTCATAAAGAATTGATGCATTTAACTTTTGCGCAAAAAACAAAACACTCCAAAAATCTTTAAAAGTTTGAGTGATAATTCATTAATTTTTATGAGGAAGTTAAAATATAGTTGGACCACTATTGTTTGAGAAAATGTATTGGTCACTATTAGTTTAGAGTAGTTTAACAGTTTATGACCTGAAATTTTTAATTTGGAGTGTGGAAAAGTGGGGGGGGGCATGGCAAACAACATACTAAAGGCAACTGGTGGGTTTATAGACATGATTATATCTACAAAGATCTATTGATTTTAAATTATTAAAAGATGACTACAAAAAGGAGTTATGCCTAATCTCTACCCAACTTTCCTTAAACCTGAAATCTGATCTAATTTCATGTGAGTGATTGCAGGAAAAAAAAAAAAAAAAACGGTCAAAATACCCCCTCGTGTCTGTAAGTAAAGAGTTGTGCATTATATACACACACACAAGTATGAAAGCAACCTTCACTTAGACTTAAGATACAGGAAATGGCTCTCTCTCCTAACAAAGTCAAAAAACACAATCACTATTTTTCATTAAAAGTGAGAAGCTTTAAAAAAAAAAAAAAAAAAAAAACAGCCATTATTCCGTCCCAATCTCGGTAACCACAACCTACAGGCCCAGACCTCCATAGGAGATTTTGCTTGCTTAAATCTAATAGATTCTTAAATTCATTAGTGGTGAGGGAGAAACGTCTGCTTTTCTTGTAGACAGCCACTTTCTAGAGAGGAAAAAAAAAAAAAATTTTTTTATCCAATTGAAAATGTCACAAAACAATCTCAGTTGAATAATGCAATTGCATGTCAGTAGCAAAGATCAACCAATATGTAAAGTGATTCTATCACAGTTAACAAATTTCATTGAAATTAAGGGGAGGACAGTTAAAAGTCTCACAAAAACAAATCCTAGAATGAATTCAGTATTTACATTTAAAATTTTTTTAACATTTAGCACCCCCCAAGTTTCCAAATAGGATTTTGCCGGCAACAAAACAGAGTTGGATGAAGTGTGTTGGAGCCGTTTGAGAAAGACACGTAGCCATCAGCAGTAAGTCCACAAATAAAGGGCAATAACTCCTTCACGAAAATTTACTCTTTAAAATTGTCAACATCGTGTGGTTTGTGTCGCCAACCACCAATTTGAGCTTCAATGCAATGTTTGTAGAAAAGGGTTTTGGCTGCCTGATAGGAAGCAGCGTCCGATTTATACTGTCCATAGGTTAAACCAAGTGTAATGTTTTTGCAATGACTTTCCAGGCAATGTTGACGGAAACGATAAAGGACAGCAGCCTTGCACAAACGACTTGCCATTGAAGAGCCAGTCTTGGAGGGAGATCTGCAGACAAACAAGAAAAAAGAGATTATGTAGGGAAGGAAAAATTTTGTAGTAAAAATTTGTGAAAACCATTTAGAATTTATTTTTTTCCTTGTTAAATTAACTGCTTTGAAAGTTTAAATTTTTTTTTTTTTTTTTTTTAAATTTATTTAATAGTGTAAATCCTGAAGAAACTGGCATAAATGTTGAGACATTGTGAAGAACTGCAGTTGGTTACTGCCAATGTATGATACAGTTGCAAAATACATATAAGCAGCTGCTTCTAGGTAGAGTTGGATGAACTCATTTAGTCTGACATTAAATTATAAGTGCTCAAGTGGGGGAAAAAAAAAAAAAAAAAAATTCCTTACTCTTCTATAATTCTTCCTGTAGATGCATTTGTGACTTCAATAAATTCCTGTCCCTTGGCCCAGTTTATTGACAAGTTACCCAAACCGCTTTCTTTGTGGTCATGGAATGAAGGGATAAATGCTTCATTCAGTTGCGGGTGATTAATGTGGTAGGGTTCGGGTAACTTAGCATCCAGTTCTTCATACAAACGGCAACACACAGCACGCGACAAGTGACCATGATCAAAATTTTTCCCTAACAAAAAAAAAAAAAAAAAAAAAAAAAAATTTTGCTGTAAAGTATCACAGTCTCAGGAAAAACACATGAAGCATTTTATCACAAAAAATGCTCGATTCCATTAGTGAAGTTAAATTAAAAAGAATAAAAAAAAAAAAAAAAAACCCAAAAAACAAACTTGGAATTCCAATGGATAATTTATTGTTAGAACACATATTTTGGAAAGCTTTTGCAATCTTTGATCACTCGAGAAATAAATGAACAGTGACTAAGCTATATTGTATATGTTATAAATTAAAAAAAAAAAAAAAAGTCTTGTTACAGTGAAAATCTGACTAATTGCATAAATTCACTGAATTTTGTAGTGAATTGTCAGGGGTGGGTGGGGTGGTGGAATTAATATCCTTGTCCATACACTAGTTGACTCCAATTTAATTCATGATTTGTCCTGTGGAATCTAAGTGTAAATTTGGTCAGGAACAGACAAGGTATTTCTGCATTCAGCCCAGAATTTACCCACATTAAGATGGAGCAACACTCAAGATTTTCATGAAGTCATTTGTTATCTGATGTTTTAACCCAAACCAAAGAATTGAACCTGAAGGCTTTCAAGACTATCAACTTTACTTTAGTGGGACAAGGAGGGAATTTTGTACTTACCAAGTGTAATTGAATGAAAATAAACAGGATTTATGATATGGCTGAAAATGGCCCCTTGGATCCCAAGCACATTCCACTTTAATAGTTTGTCACTGACAGACATTACTTTTAATGTTTTAGCTGAGGTGAACTCAGTCAGTGACTCTTGGATTTCTTCATTTTCAATAATATGTTCAGTGTCTCCTAGAGAGAGAGAGAGAGAGAGAGAGAGAGAGAGAAATTTAATGCTGGTAATTCTTGCTTTTGAATTCTACAGTAAAAAGAATCATAGAAATTTCGCACATCATATTTAAACAGTTTTTTAATGGCAACGTTTTTGGCAGGACTCAAATGAAAGACACCATCATCATTATTTTACAAGTGCTGACCTTTTTCTGATGTTGTACTCAGTGCACCATGGTCTTCCAATTCAAATGCTGGCTTATGGGCACCCATTGCAATCAATTCATTGTCTTCATGAGCAAGAAGCCGACTTGGTCTGAAAGAGTAAACAGGACACAAATGCAACACTTGAATTGTTTAAATTCAAGTTTAAAATTACATTATACTTGCTACTGCATGATTGACCCAATCATTTGAATTCAAATGGGTTGATATATGGTAAATAGTAAATTCAAATGGGTTGATATATGGTAAATAGTTCAAATGTGATCAAGACTGATCAGTGAACTGAAGAACTCGACCAACACGCAATTGGGAAAATTATCAGCAACAGCCTTCTTCACCATTATCTATTCAGAGTTGAAAAGAGGCAATGTGTATGCACCCCAGACCTTAAATCATATTTATATCATTGACAATGTAATAATATCAGAGACATAATTGTTAGAAGAGCAGATAGTTGGACAGAGCAGACTTCTCTGCACCAAACCCATTCAGCTTTTATAATCTGTTAACCCTAATATCCTTTCCAGTTGACAAGTTCCAAAATTTTTCTTAAACAGAAACTAAAAACAAACCATCTGCTTAGTGAAATCAACAAGTTGATTTTTAAGTAACTTAGTAAAAATGTTTATTTTTGTCTGATCATTTATTTAGTAGTTTGTGTTGATCTGGGAAGATAATTCTAGCTAGTCTCTCCTCTATACAGTTTTGGGGATTTATTGTTGTAGGATGATGTGGTCTTATTTCCCATATTTTTTGGTGTAATTTTGTTTTTTGTATCCACCCCCACATATATGCAGATAAAACAAACAAAAAAAACAAACATTTTACTACATTATTAAATTGAAAACTAAAAATGAATACAAAAAAAAAAGTAAAAATAAAAACAAAAAAATCTAAATCAATAAATAAGTAAACAAATTAAGTAAATAATAATTAAATTAAACTACAAATATACAGAAACAAGTAAATGTAGTAGTAATTAACAAATAAGCTAAATCAATAATAAATATCTAAAAAGTTAATAAACAACACTATAAAATAGCTACAAATAATTGCATCTGAATTTGGTATTTCTACTCAATAGCCACTAGAATAATTTGAAACACGACTATTACTACCTACCCAATAACTGTTAGGATAATACAATAGACCTACCCATAATGGACCATTGACCAGCATAGATAAATAGGTCAAGCAAAAACAACACACATGATCTGAAGATTGTGTTCAAGCAAGAAACATACTATGGCAGCTGGGTGTTGGCCTCAATGTTCACTTATTTATTTACACAAATAAGAATGATGTAATCAACAGAAATAAGTCTTACTCTTTATGGAAGATTTCATAGTCCCCAGCCGGCGGATCACTGATGAATAAGTGGAAAGAGATATTGGTCCTGATTTTCAGAGTCTTTTCATTGGGTGGCAAATAGAAAATGCAAGTTGCTGAATTTGGTTGATTGATAAAGTTCTGAAGTTCAATGGTCAAATACCTGGAAAGAGAAGAGGGCGGAAAATAAATTTTGCCCTGTTGGGTTGATGGGATAAATAACCTGAGGTTGTTATAGCCACTCTTTGGAGTGGGTCCTGATTTCCTGTGTAAAAGCCAAAATATAACGTGCTCAACTTGAGACACTCACACAGAGTGTATTATAAAAGGGGAGATAATGGTGCTTGAGGTGTCCAAATAAAGAAATACTGTCCCTTGGGTTATGTACACATGGCACTCCCACTTTAAACTTGGCCATGTGCCATATTCCGAGTAGTGTGCATTAAGACTTACAGGATCTCAATGGCCAGATTGGCAGAAGAGGACAGTGCCAGTCACACCTTGACAGACCAAGCATTTGATAGTCTGAAGCAATTAGGTTTGCCAAATCTTAATTCCCTTCAAGCCATGAGGGATACGTTTCTGGCCAAGTGCATAGGCTTCTCCGTAGTGCAAAGCTGTCCACCAAAATCAAATTCATGTGAATGGTATTGTCAAACTCTTCGATTCACAGCCATCTCTGCCACCGCCACTGGGAGAGAAACAGAATAGGGAGGGAGGATGATAATCACAAGGCTCAGATGCATGCAGGTGCTGATGATGGCATTAAGATTCTAAAGTGTTTACTCTTTGCAAACAGACACTGAAGGCTAATTGACTCAACAAGTTGATCAGTAGTAACAAAATCATTTTCTTATCCGGATGTTTATGGACAACATTTGGCACTAAACTTACCGACGGAAAGTTCTTCTTGCAATCACGGAAGCGTGACTATCAATAATACATCTGCCATCAGTGGTAAGCATGCTTGAAGTTAAACATTGATTTCCTGTTGCCATGGCAACAACCTGCATATCGTTGTCTGAAAGAAGAGAGAGACAAAATTAAAGTTAAAAGCAAATGTTTAAAATATTTTTTCCCTTTTTTTAAAAAAAAAAAAAAAAAAAAAAAAAAAGGGATTTTTTTTTAATGTCATCACCTCACATATGGCTCTGACAAAAGACAGCATCTGATAATTGTGCAAAGGTCAACTTTGGCAATTTGAGGTTCTTTGGAAAACATTAATGGGAAAATCATGAAAGCTTTATTTTTAATTATGGAGCAAAAAGTAACAGGATTAATATGCACAAAATTCCTGAACAAATTGTCAGAATTCAATCACATAATATCAAATATAAAGAAAATTTATTATTAGATGAAGTGTTGTAAATTTGAGACAAGTTTCGTTTTATTTCTATTGTTTTATCAAAACCCTCATTGCATTGGAAAAAATTTGACTCAGTAGAAATTTTAAATACAGAAAGTTTGACAATTTAAAACTGCTTTGCCAGCTACTATAAGTTTGATATGTACTTACTAGTTAGTTGTACTACTGCAGCTACAGACTTTTCTTTATTTCTGAGATCAGGAAACTGTTCCAGGTACATGTAGAGCTGTTGATAGACAAGATCTGTGATTTTCTGACCCATACTCTTCTCTTCAGGAGCAGCATTCTAAAAAGCAAAAAGATAAAACATCAGCATTTTATCTTTCTTAGTTAATCTGATATAAACTAAGAAGAAATCAGGTAAAAAGAAAAGGTAATGCCAAAATTTAACTTGATAATATTACAGGTGTGGAGAGTTGTGCCAGAGAGAGACTTCATATTAAAAAAATAAAAAAGTCAGAATTTGGGAAATAAAGCAAACCGAGTGTTTGCCAGAGACAGAGTGTTTATTGATGGATATACAGCACCTTGTTGTATAACAGAAGTTTTTCCTTTTTACTTCATAAAGAAAAATAAAGTAATAAAATAAGCAACTATTTCCGATAGAAATTCTTATTTTAAGCAGTGGGGTGGGGGGACATTGCCCAGTTTATTGAGAAGGTTTTTACTGTGAAAAATAGTTTAAGTTTCATGCTAGATATAGATAACAAATGATGTTGCCACCCGCTGCTTGGCAAATCATTTTAAATAAGACATTAGTTTAGCATAATCAAATGCTATGTATTAGAAATGTTGAAATAGGATGCCAAAGATCATTTAATCTAACTTAGATAGTTTAGTTACTTTGATGTGAAGGATCTACACAATTGAAAGAAAGAAAACATGTAATTCAAGTGATTGGTAAGAAAGAACAAAAACGATAACGGAGCAAGTAAAATGAGCCATGAAGACTAAAACTATACCAGTGACTGATTATCAGGGCAAGAAAAAGGTCTATTAGGTCTTAAGAAGCAAATAATTGACTTGAACAACTGTTTCCAATTCAACCAACTAAAAAGGCAACACAATTGATGAAAAGACTGTAAGAAGGTATTCATCAACAAGAGCAGTTTGCTCAAAGATAAAATGTCCTGGGACAATGGAATTCTAAAACTGCCCGAAAGATGGCAGGTGATAGTCAAACATGTTCTTCAATAAAAATATGTTGGAAAAAAATAAAAATAAAACTTTAAACTTACACTTGCAATAGTTAAGTTTAACTTTTTAAGGGCCTCAATCCCTGCCAACTTCTTTGCTTCTTTCTTGTTTCCGGCAATTCCTTCCGTAAAATATTCATTGTTAACCAATACACAGGCCTTGAATCTACAAGATTCAAAATATTTTATTCTAATGTATAAATTCAAATTATGTGAATTGACAATTAGAGAAATGACTACTCTGTTACAACTAGAGAAGTTAAAAATAAAAAACTCAAAAATCCTTACCCCATTGGTCCTCGTTCATCAGCTACAATAACTTCACAGGGTTTGCCCATAGAAGCCATTAATTCATAAAGCCTCATAATAGGATGTTTTTCTTGTTGGCTGTTAGAGCCACTGCTGCTGCTGCAGCAACTCTGTGGATGCAAATCTTGGCTAGCTGGAAGTTCATTTGAATCTGAAAAGACAGGAATTCTGCTCATTAAAAGAAATGTTTACAATTTTAATAAAAATTAAAAGTGAAAAGAAAAAGGTTGACATTAGATAAATTTATGTTTATTTTCCAAAAAGTACAAATACACAAGGCTAATATTTGCTTTTTTTTTTCCCTCCCTCTCGTTAAAACAAACGAACAAACAAAAAAACGAAAAACACACACAAACTTTCCCTTTGCTGTAAGGATAGACAAAACAACTGCTCAGAATTATATAATAAGTAAATTCATTTATGAGTGACAAGCAGGGTGGGATTTCTATTATACAACAGGAAGGAGACATTGAAAGAGCCAAGCATTTATGTACATTTAAAATTTCCTTATCAAAAGGAGCTAACTCCCAAGTTTATTCCAGGTTTTGTTAAGAGTTTGTAAGCGTTCTGAAAGCAAAGGAAATGTTTGTCGCAGATTAATTCCACAACGTAGAGAACAAATCACTGTAAGTTCAGGCTCGAATATTGGGGGCAGAAAGAAATGCCAAAAATTCGATTTGCAAGTACTATCTCACAAATCCCAATGCACGTAACCAGTCAGAAAAATAATTCAATTGCTGACGAATACAGTAGCCAAAATAGTTCCCCCCCTTCCCGATTCGAGAACACCAACTGCTTTTATTGGCCGAGCAGTTTTTCATTCGTCGACAACTGAGAGAGGAGGACGCCAAGTATTTTCCATGTCAAAATACTTTTTTTATAGAGATTCCTGTGACGGACTTGTTTTTTTAATCTAAATATTTAGATGTCTTCAGTATGTCATGCAGAATATGTGGCCATTTTTTGATAAGTAATTTTCTTTTCCGTTGTAGGATACACACAATTCGCTGTCGCTTGGTTTGACGCGGTAAGTTGCCGTTTTCTTCCCTATAGAGTTACTAGCTGTTCAACCAACTGCATTTAGAGAAAACTATTTGATAGAGCTGAAATTTGACATGCCTTTTGCCTGCAATTAAAGTGTTGGTTGGTGTGTGTACTGATAAGAAATAATAAGTCACTGACTTACCATCCTCATGAAGAACAGCTATCTTAAAGGCTTTTTTTGCAGCATTCTTTTTAGCTTCTTTTTTAGTCATACCAACACCTTGAGGAAACCTTTTACCATTAATTTCAACTTGGACTGCAAATATGGCTAGTGAGTAATTAGGATCAGGTATCAGCTCCACATCATGAAAAGACAACTATTCAAGAGAAAACAAATTAATAATGATAGTAAATAAAATATTTAAACACAAAAACACCTTAGTATTGAACAACAATAATGTTTAATGCAGATTTCTTTTGTATGATGATAAAGATTCAAAATATTACTATGTTGGATATATTGCAGGTTTTTGTTGTTCAATATATGATGCTAGATATGTGTAGAAACCACACTAACTTTTGACAAATTAGTCTATTGTGTGATGAAAATAAAGATTTATTTTATTTTATTGCTTATTGATGGAGAAAAATAACACCTGGAAAATACATTTCAATTTAGTTAATATTAAATGCATAGATAATATAAGCAAATTACAATAGTGTACGCAGTTCAAAATGGGGGTTACATCAACAGTATTAACCCTTTATAGTAACACACTATACATTGTCTTTGAACCCCAACAGTGGCCCATATCCTTGCATTCCTTGAGACTTGTGCATGCAATAAGACAAATGGTAAAATATCATATATCATCAAATATCATATAGTGTAAATTATTGTCCCTTTTTGCACATGTTGATGCCATACAGAAAGAGTTTCATATGAGGGAATACGTATTCAATGAAGGGACAAGCCTGGGGACACTGGGCTAGGAAGAACATCTTGCAGAATATGGTGAGTGAATAGTGGCACTCACACACCTTAATGCCAGGGATGTACACACACCATCATTTACAGGAAGGAAGGAACCTGATCTAATCACTGAATGCTACGAATCTCCATTCAATCCTCCAAGAGAATCCTTCTGTGACAATAGAGATAGGTGTTGATTATTGTAGCATAAGCAGAAATCATGCTTTGATCTGGGAGATAGCTGCTTTTACAATAAGATCCTTGTAGAGATGATCAATATGGCCATCTGGTCTACAAGTGGAGGAATGCACATCTAACTACTATTGACTGTAGAAGGACACCTAATTGCAATGGACTATTTCCTCACACTAAATCTTATTTCAGCAGGTGTCACTGATGGTACACTGGTATGAGTGTTATATCACAACATAATGACTTTTTTTTAAATAAGAATATCTTGTCTGCAAGCATGTGCCTGAGATCAAATTAACCATTCTTTTTGTTGTTGGCAACTTTAAAAAATGAAACGATTCTTCAATCAATATGGGATATCAAAATAAATTCTGCTAATGTTTCATCATATTTTGGATGGTAGACAGAGACAGAATGGAGTCACAGAAATTAGGGATACATTACGTGAATAGGACACTATTTTTTTTCAATGACAAATTGAAGAATCATCTGAACTATGATGTTTGAAACATTTGCTAATTTCTCATGCATAAAAAAAAACAAACAAAAAACACCATACTTTATCAATTGCATCATTGTCTTACTAATATATATATATATACATACACACACACACAAGTTTTATCTAGACAGCAGTAATTTTTATCTAAAATTGAATTCATTTACCTGAATCTTCATTTGACTTGCGTACTCATGTAGGCATTGGGCGGGATTTTTGGTATTCGCCCTAAACTCTTTGATCAGAGAACTGGAAACTTTTCCCAAGTTGTTACTTCGAGCAGGTAGCATATCAGGCGGAGCATTATTCATGCCAGGAATATATCGCGGTGGTAGTGGTTGCTGCTGCTGCTGCCTGATTGCATACTTCTGATACACTTGTTGTGTGGCTTGAAACATGGCTGATGAAAGGCAGGAAGAGAGAAGCATTTATTTGAAATCAAGAGGAGCTATGGTTCTAAAGATTTAAGAAACAGAACTGGAGAACTTTAAAATCTCAAGTATGTTGTGTTATGCCTTTTGCAAATGCTTAACACAAACAATATCAGGCAATTGTAGGAAGCCGTGATAATCAGAAATAAAAAAGGGTTTAGATTCTGATTTAACAAGTACACTTTGGGGGGGGATTTCAATAGGTAATTGTGCATTTCTTTCTGAAAAATTAAATAATTGTCTGATTTTAATCAAATTTTCAGGAATTTATAAATTTATGGAAGTATTCTTTTGAGACATTTTTCTAGAAATTCTTTCTAATTTACATCTGTTACTTTCCACTCAGTTAATAAATTTTATGAAATTGATAATTTTTTTTTTTTTGTAAACTTAATCCATTAAAAATTCTGTATTAATTTGCAGTGGCCAAGTGAGATTGTTATTAATTATAAGTCTATTTAATGGTCATAAAATGGAAAAGTTCACAAACTACTTCCAGTATTTTAAAAAGAATTTTGGAAGTGTGTGTATAAAAACAATGTTGATTTTTGTAAACATTAACATCTATACACAACATAATGTTATCAAAATGGAAGAGAGTTATGTATAAAAAACATTTTCTCAACAATACTCTTCATATAGGTAATATAATTTGCTGAAAAAGCAGCATAGCATGATGAAGAAAGGTGCCAAACTTAATAAAAACAGTTATCAAAATGTTCAGGTTCGTTATTAAGATAAAAGACCAAAGTTATTTTTTAATTTTATTAAATTTTTTCATCCTCTCTCTAGCAATGTTCAAAATGTTGATTTAAAAAAAAAAAAAAAAAAAAAAAAAAAATCAAATAATTGTCGGATTTTAATGAAAATTTTAGAACTCATTCACAAATAAAATTTTACACTTAAAACAAAAAAAAAAAAACAAACAAACATCTGTTACCCCACTTTAATTTTATGAAAACTCGAGAAATAATGTTGTGCCTTTTAGAGTGATTAATTAAGAGCAGAAGAATTTGAATAAAAGTCAATTGTTTTGTAAAACTGAAATACATAGCTACCCAAAATTCAGCTCTGAATTGTAAAATACAAAACCCAATAAAACTAGAAAATATTTAATTAGAAAAGCTTTTATGAATAATATGTTAAGAACACTATTGCCTTAAGGCAAAATATTTTTTGTGAAATTTTTTTTTTTTTTTAAATTTTAAATAAAAAAAATTGATAAAGTTAAATATTTTAAAATTAAGTTTGAATCTGTGCCCTTTAGGAAACGCTGTTATTAAGTAGAGATATTTTTACAGATCATAAATTTGAAAGTTTATTACAATCTGCGACACGTGGGTATTTAAAAGAAATACTTTTTGAATATGCAAAAATAATGTAAAACGGTTTTTCCAAAAGTATGGATGTACGGTTTAGGCATAATAGTAAAGTGTTGAGTTGTTTCCCCTGACCAGGCCTCAGAAAACTGTTTTTCTTCCGGCTCTAGCACGTGTTAAATTTTCTATTATCGTCGCATTTTCAAATTGTTATTTTTATTTAAGGCTAATTAATTTGTTTTTCCAGTAAGAGACATACTGCAATTATTAATTATTTTCTTTTTTTTTTTTCAGTTTAATTCTAGGGAAATTTAACCGAACGCATTAAAAAAAAAAAAAAATAAATACCTATCTTGTATAAAAATTAGATTTTAATTATTTTATTACCATTTTTTTTCAATTATTTTATTACCTCAGTTGTTGTTGAAAATATTTTAAAAAAAACTGAGAAAAATCTTTTTCATAACAGATATGAAATTTTAAATTGATTTTTTCTTTCAAACGTACACCCCCCCCCTTAAAAAATTTTTTCCATCATTTTTAAGTGTTAAAAACATGTTTCAATTTCTGTTAAAATTTTCAATTCAACAAAACATGTTTCAATTCAGACTAAACTTTAAATTCTGTAAATAAATGCAGTTGCAAATTTCAAAACATTTCGAATTGAAAAAAAAAAAAAATCATTGGTGAAAATGTGCAAGTCATTTAGTAAACGTCTTCTTGTCTCAGTTTCTGGTTAAAAAAAAAAAAAAAAAAAAAAAAACTATTTTCAAGGTTTATTGTTTTTAACATTTTTTAACCCACCAGCTAAAATTCGTTTACTTTTTTTTTTTTTTTACATTCCCACCGACGTCATTTGTAAAATCCAAAAATCTAGTAACAGTTTGAATTTTGCTAAGATTCTTTCAAAAACTATGTTACTTTTTAAGTGAAAAAGTAATCGTTTTTGTTCTAGGATGTTTAAATAAATTAAAAGATGACGCAATAATAACTGAAATGTCACTATGACTTCGACATGTAGAGAAACTATTTTCCCTAGTTTCATAATTAGACAGATTTTTTTTTTTTTAAACTTTGAACAAATGATGACTGTTAAAAAAAAGTTATGCAAATGTTATTCACGCGAACTATTTAAATTTTAAACTATTTTTAATGAAAAATGTTTATAAACAGTTTTTCAGTTTAACGTTTAGTTTTCGAAATAACTATAAAAACTGGATAAAGTTTTTTTAGGCTTTATAAATTTCAAATTAGTTTCAACAGTTCTAAATTTAAGTCTGAATATATTTTAAAAGAAAATAGCCGAATATTGTTGGGCGATAACTTTTAAAACTAAAAGTTAAATGGCGAAGGAGTTTAAAAAAGCACAGAAAAGTGTGAGTATGTAATTATTAATTGTACTGATATTTTCCGGTCGATAAAGAACGGAAAAGAAAAAAAAAATCTGATAATTGTTAAGATTTTTAGGAGTCGGAGGGATGGTTTGAGCCGCAAACTTTTCAGCACTTCCTTCTAGTAAGTAAAAAAAAATAGGAATCATTTTCAATTTTTTTTTCATACACACTTAGGATTATTTTTAAATTTAGAGCAGAAAAAGAAGCACGGCATTAAATTGAAAAACTCCTAAAACTTTGTTCCACGAATTAAAAACGAATATTTGCAGTAGAAATAGAAAAAATACTTTGTTTTTGTTGGAAAAAAGCTAAAAAAAAAAAATGTAAACAACGTTACCTTCTTCAAATTAAAAAAAAAAAAAAATCCAAAACGTCAATACGTTGAATTAAGTTTCAACACCGAGTATTTTAAAGAGTCAACTTTGTGTGGTCGACAAGTATAAACACAATTTCTTAATGTCGTGTGTAGATTTGTTTTTCGCGGGGGTGTGGGTAAGAAATAGCGGAGGGTAAAGTTTACCTTTTACTTTAACAGTCGAGTATAAAATTTAGAAGTGAAACTAAAAAGAGAGTCGAGGAAAAAAAAAAAACAATTTTCTTTTTTTTTTGTCCGTCAATATTTACCGGAGATACAGATAAAACTGCAGGATGACACTACGGTAGAACTAACGTGCCGTTATCCACAAAATGTTCGCCAGGATATTTCCTTTTTTTCCTCTGAGAGTTTGTATAAAATTGCGACCTCAAGTTGTCAATTTATAAATCTGAAATCATGAAATTACAGCGCCATCTATTACAAAAACAACAAAGGGCAGGTAATTCTAAGTTAGTGTGTCATCATCATCATCAGCGCTCAAATAGTGTGAAACAAGGAATTTCTGAACCAATTGAATAGTACATTTTTTGGTTTGAAGTTTTAGTTGAAAAATTTTATAATAAAGAGGTTTATGCAATAATTCTGGGACTCAATTCTTATGTAATATTTGAGAGAAAGTTGTGCATATTACATTTTTCCACATAAGCCCTATAAAAAGGAGGAAAATAAAGTGAGATAAAGGAGAGAGAATGGGAAAAAGAAGTACTTAAAAAAAAAAAAAAAAAAAAAAAGGCGCTAACGAAAAAGACGACTATTCCGACTCAAAGAGAAATTGATAAAGAAACATTTAAAAAGTAAAATATTTTTCATAATATAAAAATTGTACTAAGGCATTGCCCAAAAAGTTTCACTTGTGCACTTTTTAAATTCTCAAGGCAGATTCTTTCCAAATAAAAACCAGTTTTCTCTTAGAAAAAAAAAAACAGTAAATGGAAAACACGTCTTTCCTTAGCAACAAAGGAATTTTAACAACTTTCTTTATGTGCAATGTTTCATAGAAATCAATTTCTTAACAAGATGATTGGTGAAGCTGGGTCTCTTCCAAGAACTATTTCGGAACAGGTGTTCTCAAATATGAAAAACTCGTGCAAGTTAAGAAAAATTTTTTAGAAAAGAGAATTCTTCTAGTAAGTGTTATTCTTTGTATGTGTGAGTATTAAGACAGATTCAACGAATTTATCAATAAGGCCAATACAAAAAGTAAAATAATTGAATTAGGTTCGGGTATTAATGAGGAAGAAACAAAAGACGATCCTTCGCCCCTTTCCACTACATAGGGAGAAGACATTTCCGATCAATAATAATAATCTTAAGAGCCTAATTTAGACAACACTATGCATAGAAGGTTAAAAAATAATGTACAGACTGAAGGAAAAAGTTTTGAGAAGAGGACTCTTTCTCAAGATTATGCCATACAAAGTTACTTTGAGTACGTAAGAGAAGGCGTCAGCAGGTTTAATCACTATTATTATGATTCTGTTGGTATTTCAATAGCCAGAATAACAATTTAACCTCAGCAATAAGTTGAGAATTTATTTTTATTTGAAAACAAGTTTCGAACGAAGTTTCTTTTTATGATGTCAACTCACTCTTCAATTATAAAAAGTTGTATCCACTTCCGAGTTTACAGTACACAAATGATATTCGTTCGGCAAGGCAAGCCATTCAATATTAAATCACTTAATTAGAATCTGTATATTTCTGAGATGAGGTATTATGTACATTATTTACATTGCTCGGACTATTGTCCTCATCTTTGTCGCCATATTTATTACAACGTTTCGGACGTTGTACGCTCCGTCCTTCAGGTGGTTGGAATGTCGAACTGAACCCTATATTTCGCTCATTGGGGTAGACTGTTCTAGTTCCACGTTTAATGGATATCAGTTCTCCACTGCCTTAACGCCTATATCCATTGAGCCATGTGTCGACACACGGCACAGTGAATAAAGGCGTTGGTCAGATCCAGTGACAGGACCCAAAGAGTGTGAGTTCAATACCTGGTTAAGGCAGTGGAGAACTTTCAGAGGGGAATTAACAGGAGATAACATGGCACTTGAAACTAGAACAGTCTACCCCAGTGAGCGAAATAAAGGGTTCAGTTCGACATTCCAACCACCCGAAGAAGACCAGAGCGTACAAATATGGCGACAAAGAGGAGGACAATAGTCCGAATAATGTAAATAATGCGCACATAATTAGAATTAGATGAAAGGATTTTTAAATTTAAGTGTCATTTACAAACATCTAAGATATATTCTCACGAAGTTGATGAATATCGAAATTGCAAAAGTAGTTTGGAATCCCTAACTATAAAGGTTGTTGGGAGAGGTAGTCATTTGGTTAGGTAACATAGGAATTTAAAAAAAACAAAAGGCGTGGTAGATCATTTTCCCAAAATAAATATAATTTACTTCTGACGATATGGTAGACCTGGAATTCAAATATCGGAACCGTTTACATTTTTTTTTAAATTTTTTTTATTTTACATTTGGTGTGTGTTTGTGTGTCAAATTATTAATTGATATCTGCTTATTTATGTATAACTCACAAGTCACCGTGATACTTTGGCGTGCTAACAAACCACAAGATTGGCCTTCAGAATGGTAGCTTCATGTTTTCTGTGAAATAATTTCTCACAAAAATTAGAATTAATTATTTCTTGGATTATTCGCGGACCCTTGATATATGCATTTTCTTCTCCCCTTATTCGCTTAGTGACCTATAGATAAGAGAAAAAAAATGCATTTAGAATAGATAAATTTCAATAAGTAGTTTCATGTCACTTGGGGATTTTTTTTTTTTAAATCTTTTTTATTGCTTCACTTGTTAATGCTTTCAGTTTTAGAATTTGACATTCCCGCTCGGAAAACTGAACATATTTCTTCTTGAACTTACACCCTTTCAGACTATATCTTGCAACTCAACTAAAAATTTTTTTTCAAAATTCTCATGTAGCATGTCTTTATTCCTGGCAAGATGTCAGACAAGAAAACTAAAACACATTTCTAAAAAAAAAAAAAAAAATCCATAGCAATAAACAATCGACAAATAGACAGTTGGTTTTAAAAACGAATTTAGCTCCTTTTCAATGAAATAAAAAAGTCATTATAAATATTTATATTACAGTGTAACCCGGATATAAGAGATTTTTCTCTGGTCCCAAATTAGAGCTTGTGTTAGTTAATGTATAATAGACCAAACCCGGATATAAGAGACTTCTACTCCGGTCCCGACAACTCTCTTATATCCGGGTTACACTGTATACACATATTCATTACAGAAGTGTTGGCTTGTTATTGAAACCACGGAAATTTAATTTAGTTTTTACATCTACAAATGACATTAACGACCCGACTGACAAGGAGAGAAAAAAAGAACATTTTGAAAATACACGCTTTTCGTTTCTTAGAAAAAAAACAATCTGCTTCCTGGAAATTAAAACTCTCGTTTAACTAATAACATGACTCCACCTAGCCAGCATTAGGTAGATAAATAAAGAAGTGTGTTTGGGGGGTTACTATCATTTTGTTTGATACCAGGAAAAATACGTTTTTAATCAGTGAAATATGAAGTAGTTGCATAGTAGTGAGGTTAAATTGTTGGCAATAAATAGTTATGTAACTTATGTTTCATTCACGGATGTCTTTTTTTTTTTTTAAACAGACCTTCGTATTCGTGGCAGGAAACAAGTCACAACACTTTTTTTTTTTTTCGCGTAACATGTTGGTTGTTGATCCCAATCCCATTGTGTAGCAGATTTATGGACCACGTTTATTTTTCACTATTTATTGTTGAGATCAGCACTGAAATCTGAGATGTCTACTATATACACACATTGTCAAGTTTGTTTTTTTTTAAAAAAAAAGTATTAAAGAAAGACGCGGAAACCGTGTTATTATCCTGTGCCATTTTTTTTAACTAGATTCGTAGTATCCGCCAAGAAAGTAAAATTTTAAAATGAAATTTTTAGTAATAAGATGTTATTAAAAAGTTGTCAGAGCTACAAAAAGTTGAACTTTTTAAATTATATAAAAGTAAAACAAAAAGTGAATTTTAACTTTTTAAACAGTTCCACTGATACAAAATTAGATCAAACATGATATAGTAAGTTAAGTAAAAAAATATTGAGCAAGAAACGGGTTTGGGGCATTTCACTGGCGACATCTTCGAACGCGATTTAACTAATCATTTCATTTACGTTACGTTAATAGAATTCCCAATTCCTCGCAATTACATAAATCTTTATAATAAAACATTTTATAAACTTTCAGATTTTATTTGAAAGAATTTTTTTAAAGTTTTAAAAATATTTTTTATAAAAAGTAACAAAGTGTCAGTAGATAAACTGTTATGCAATGTAGGTTTTTACGATTTTAAAAATAATTTATACTACACATATTTAAAAAACAACCAAAAAACGCAGAAATAAGTTACCTTAAAGTTAAATAATTCAAAACGTGGTTACTGATATTGGCAATTTTGCGCATCCGTACTGTTGCTGTTGACATCACTTCCGTCTTTAAATCAGTAACGCACATGTCAAACTCGTCGTCGTATCAATTTTTTAGTACTTTTTTTTTTTTTTTCTTTTAAGTTTTCTCCTTCGAAGTACTAACTTACTAGTAATCATTTTAGCGGTTAAAAAATTTAACTACCAAATGTTATATTTTAAATCAACCAATCTTTAAAAGGGTTAAAAATTGTAAATATTCCATTTCTTTCTCTTTTTTAAGGTTTTTAAATTTTCATGTTTTTAAGGTGCGTCATTTCTTCAGCATGTCAGTTTTTCACGACGAAGTTGAAATAGAAGACATGGAATTTGATGAAGAAACAGAAATTTATCATTTTCCTTGTCCTTGCGGAGACAGATTCGAAATAACACTTGAAGAATTACGAAGTGGTGAAGATGTTGCCAAATGTCCAAGCTGTTCTTTGTTAATAAAAGTTATATACGACTTGGATTCATTTTTAGAGAGTGAAGAAGTAGTGGCTCCAATCACGTCAAACACAGAGAAGAAGCTCGTTGCTACTGCCTAATTGAATACATTATTAAGGTAAGAAGTGTACAAAACAAACTCTATATGTATTAATGGTTCCATTGAACAGGAGAAATGAGAATAATTCAATAATAGCAATATTTTTTTTTTCATCCAACAAACCTGATTTTTCCTTCTGATAAACAAACCAAAACATTTTTTTTTATAGCGGGAACATGACATGATCATTTATTTAATTAAAATGTTTAACCGTAGACGACATCAGTGCGTTATCTTTTAGTTTTGTCATTTCCGTTTGGGGATGTCCCCACGGGCACGTTTTTATTATTTTATATTTTTGTGGGGAGTGTAGTGCTAAGTGTAAAAAAAAAAAAAAAAAAAAGGTAAAGAACTCGTGTATTTTTTTAAAATATATTTTTTGTAATTGTTTTATTTTAGTTTTCTTTTAACTTTTTAAACTTCGATATTCATAGTATGGAAAAAAACCCTTTCACTGCTAAAGTTGTTATATTGTTAAAAATTCGACAACAAATTTTTTAATCTAATGAATGAAACTTCTTAACGATTTTTTATTTTAAATTCAACTTAAAAAAAATGGTAGATTGAAAAAGTGACTCACTAAGTGGCTAAAAAAAAAAACGATTTAAGAACTTAAAAATGAGGCTAAAAGTCACTAATCGACTATATTTCTTTTTTGTTTTTAGGACCTTTTAGAATTTTTGTATGTCTATAATTGGGAAATGTGAAACGATTTTTTTTCAACACGGCTAATAAAAAAAAAACATACAAAAAATAGGAAAAACAACGTTTCGTATTATGTTGTGTTGCCATTAATTTTATAAACTTTGTACGCATTTGTTAAATAAATAAATACTCTATTCAATCCTCTTTGCTTCAAATGTTTTAAAATTTGAAGGAGAAAACATTTTTTTAAAATAATCTTCTACTTAACGGTACTGATTTAAAAATTTTCGTTAAAAATCATGCTTTTCAAAATTATTAAAAAAATAAAAAAAATTCTATGAATGAATTTAAATCAAAAACCGTACTACTGTGTTTGTTTTCGTTAGTCACAACAAAAAAGTTCATAATTTTAAAAGTACGGAAGCCTTTTCTTTTTCTCGTGAAAAATACCCTAAAATTTTTAGGACCTGACTAAAAATGCTGGTTCTTCTTCACTAGTCCCTCTCCCCGTCCAAAACTAACAATTTTTTTTTTTTTTTTAAAAAGAAAAGGTAAAACTAAAAACATTGATTCTCATCATTATGTTCAAATAGGGATTCTTTATTACAAGTTTGTTGCTTTATGATAGAGTAGCTGGTGTCGTTAAAAAAAAAAACCCAAAAAACAGCGCTTTTCAGGCAGCGATATTAGAAAAAGTTGGGTAAAAAAAATCGAACAGATTATTTTAGTAAATTCTAATCCATCATCTGTTTCAAATACAGAAACCACCAAACCCTTACTCTTACGAATTAAATGACCACTCCATTTGATTGTACTTAACGTTCATTGTCATTTTGTCTGTTGTTTATCGTTAATCCATGTTGGACAATTAAAAAAAAAAATGAATGATGAAAACACTGGGTAGCCATTACTCAGCAGGTGATATCGCCAGTACATGCACAACTCTAACCCTGGGGCATCAAAAACTATACAGCAACTTCCTCTGATATTCCCATGCTATAAGTGAATGAGCCACACTTGGCAAACAAATTCAAACCACCCTCCCTCTGAATGCAAGACAGCAATTATGTGATAAGTAGACAACTTCCCACTTTCAAACAGCAATAAACCAAACCAAACCAAACCACACCTTCAACCAGAATCAAAGCAAAATATACAAAAGTATTGCTCAGAACCACAGCCTAGCCAGCTGCAGTAATCATATGGGGGGGAAGCTGAATCTGTTCATATCTCCATCCACCCAGTGATCAGGTACATATTGCTAGGATAGATGTCAACAATGCTGATCCATGTTTTTCGGGAACAAGAAAAGAAGCATTTAGTAGTGCCCCCCCATCCAACGATCAACTAACTGGATTTTTCAGTTATGACGGTGCAAGATGGGATGTCCTCATATTACAGCCATCCAGTGACATTGGGTGGGTTTTGAATGGCAAGTGCAATTTAAACTATTTAAACCTTTAGCCACAAGACTATTATAAATTCTATTTTTGTACATATTTTCTCAATCTAATTAACCCCTGCTCCCCCTCCAAAGAAAACTTAGCGCCCCAAGGTAATTGCCCCACCCACGCTACACCACTGCTGCCAATGTTGTTGCTTTAAAATATTTGATAAAGTGGATAATGTATCGGCACTCTTCAAATAGGGAAATTAGAAATGTTGGGCTCTCCAAAATGGTACAGTTTGGGGGAACACCAGCTTCAAATCAAACAAATTAACTCATAATCCATGTCAAATAATATCATATTAGATATAAACTTCAAATATAATCCATCCCATCTCTCTCAAAAACAGAAACATTAAAAGCTTTTACATTGCATCAATTTATAGGTCTCGATCTGTATTTAAGTAATTAAATGGTTTTCATATTCGACTCTAATTAACTCTTATATTATACATTTGTTCAGTCACTCTGTTGTTTGTTAGTATAATCCATGGTGAGCACTTTGATAAAATTTGAAATATTATGTTGTCATCTTGTCTTTGCAACTATAATACAAATTGTGATTGTGGATGATTTTGTTCTTATGAAATTGAAATGCTTTACTTTATATTGTTAATTTGTCTTCTATTTTTCTTTTGACAGCATTGTCCTCTTTGACCAAAGCTGCAAAAATTGGATAACTTGACTGATTTGATAGAACTCAACTAAAAGATATACAAGACTGACCGTCCAAGAAAAAGGTTAAAATGTTAAATTATTTAATTGAAGTGCAGAATTAGATTGGCAGCAAGGTTTCATCATTTTACAATTGAAATGGCTAGATGGAACCATAAGTTCTATGCTAACAGTTCCTTCTATTGCACTTCTCATTTGTGAAAATCTTTTCTGGATTCTTGTTTCACTTTCAAGTTTGATCTTCAAAAGTTTAAATGTAATGTCGATCGTTATCTTCTGTCTTAATTCTTATTCTTTTATTGTCCTCTCTTCTTAATAGTTGTTTTTCTCCTTCTCTAACCTCTTGCATCCCTATGGCTTTATTGTCCTGCTTGGGGTGAAATGATTTAAAAAAAAAAAAAAAAAAATTAGGAGGTCAAAGTTCAAAATGTTATGTAAATAATCAGTGCAAAGTAGGGTTGTTTAGGCACAGCTAAAAAGAAATTGAAACCCAAGTTTGTTTTGTTTGTTTGTTTTTTGTTTTATTTTTTTTTTTTTTTGTTACTGTTACACAATTCGATCATGTTAGAAATTCTCA